CCCCCCCCCCCCCCCCCCCCCCCCCCCCCCCCCCGGGCCTTTCCCCGCACCAGACTTACCAGGTGCACACAGCTCTCCAAGCTGTGCTCCTCGCTGCCTGAACGGTGTGCTGTGACTGCGCCCATACACGGGGATTCATTGGCCAAATTACTGGCCACATCAGGCTGATTTCCGATACAGTAATTTTCTTTATAATCGGTGACAATCCGATATCATATCTATACAAATAATTAGCTTCCAGTGTGACAGACAGTAACCAAAAAGTTAAGACCTTTAGATACAAACCAGACAAACACCAAAGAGGACTAGGCACATTTTACCATATTTTCTCATGTATCACATGCCCCCAGATAAGACTTACACCTTGTTTTGGGAAGGCAAAATGAAGAAAAGACATTTTTACAGTCATGGCTGAATGCTGACTTCAGCAGTTGTTCCTCTGATGTTAAAGGGTGATTTCAGGGTCCTCTATCCCCGAGACTGACAGAGTGAAGCACAGTAACCATTTTGCAGCATCTCCTTGATTCCATTCCAGTGTAGAAAATTACTATCCCACTTAAGACATGCACCCTAATTTTGGAGGACTACTTTTGGGGAGAAAAGTATGTGGGGCATGCAAGTAAGTATAACATCTGAATCTGGCAATGGTTAGTTACCGAAATATTTTGTCCAGTTCTGGTACTACAAATTCAAAAAAGTATCGATAAAACAAAGACAGTGCAGAGAAGAGCCCCAAGAGTGATTAAAGAATGGAAAAGCACACTTTATAACGAGCTTCTTAAATCCATTTACCTAATTAAAGAGTCAGTTAAGAGGGGACCAAACTACTGTGTGCGTGGGGAAGAGATTTTACAATATACATCTGTATAAACAAGCAATGGTACAAGTACTAATGGCTGGAAACTGAAGCTGGACAAGAAAACAAAACAAAACAAAACAAAAAGACATATCATGAAGTGCAAGTTTTTTAAAAAACTGAGACTGAATGACTAATGAAGAGCTTACCACAGATTTTCTAGCACTGAGAATCTTAATATCAAGTTTGAATATTATTCTAAAAAGATAAGCTCTTGTTCAAGCACAGTTATTGGACTTGAAATAGGACTTCCTAGAACTAAACTCCTATGCCTTGTGTTATGCAGGAAGTCAAGCTGCATTGTTACAGCAGTTCCCTTCAAGCCTTAACATTTATGAATAGTCTGATTAAAAAATTAATCCATGCAAAAGGCAACCCACAGATCAATCTCTCACAACCAGAAATCCTGAATTCACAGTGGGAAGCCACAAAACACAGCACAAATAGCTTCAGTAAACACCTGTGTGACAAGTCAGAATCCTGCTCATTAGTCAAGTGAGGAATGGGAAGACAGAATCTGGAGAGAGGAGTACAGAAGGGAAAGGGTTTTTGCAGGGTCCAATGCCAGTAGCACAGATGGACCCAACATTGGCACCAAGAGTGCAGTAGAGAAGTTGGTGACTCCAATTTCTGCAGGACAAGGTCTCCTGTTGCCAAAAAGCAAGATGGCACTACCAGAACTAGTGGTAAGTACTCCACATGGTAGAGTCCATTCATGCCACGTGGGGCCAACTGTGCCAGAAATATAACTTCAATCTAACTTAGTACTAGTACAGCAGAAGTTTATATCAACTGCCCTTACAACAGTTCTGATGCCTCTGCAGTACTGAGTGAGTGGGTTCCCTTGACATGTGCCTTGGTGCTGAGCTATTCATGCCAAGATGTTTTCCAGCTTTGCAGGGAACAGCATGGAACCACAATATATTATTATTCCTCCCATCTCTGAAAGGATATAGAAACAGAAAAAAAGAGAGAGACAACAAAGATCATTGAGGCAGAGAGAGGCTTCTGTACAAGGGGAGACTAAATAGGCTAGGACATTTCCAATTAAAGGAAAGATGACTGGGGTGGGGAAGTGGGGGCCAGGTATGATGGAGATCAGTAAAATAATGAATGATATGGAGTAAGTAAATAGGGATTTATTATTTACTGTCTCTCTCAATACCAGAACTAGGAGACAAATAAAGCAATTATTAGGGAGCAGGTTTAAAACAAGCATGAGGAAGTTGCTTTGGGGTTTTTTAATACACGGTATGTAGTTAATTTGTAGAACTCATTGCCACAAGAAGTAGCGGAGGTCAGAAATTTAATTAGATTCAAAAGAAGATGAAGTAAATTCATGCAGGATCGGTCCAGCAGTGGGTATATATAACATGATAGTAGAGCTGCAACTTGCAAACTGGGACTCCCTAAGCCAGGGGCTAGCAACATTTGTGCTGCTGTATAATCCTCCGTATTGGCCCAGGCCAGGTCAGACCTTTCCGACTGGATCCAGCCCAGGGGCCATAGGTTGCTCACTCTTGCCCTAGGGTTTTAAATGCTGAAAGCTGTAAGAGAGGGGCAGGGGACAGCTCAGTCTATATAGGTATAAAAGTACCTCTTCCCCTTAGCATTCACTCAGTGCCACTATGAACCACAGAATGCTGGGCTAGATGGACCTGCGGTCTGTCCCAGTGTGGCACCTCTTATGTAAATATTGGGAGCCAAGAAGGGGAAAAGGAATCTCTTTCTGACAAACTCTGAGTTGCGGGTCCCTCCTGGAATCTCTTTCAAAGGCCGACTACTCAAAGGCTCCTACCAACCTTTTCAGCAACGAGCTTGTGCTCTTTGAATGCCTATATGCAGCTGGAATTTGCACACCAGGTCTGAAGCTAGGCTTAAGATTTTTCTAGCAAGTAAACCTAAGGCATGGCATGGCTCATCTGT